GCTGTCAGATGGACTTAGTTGGACGCACCTTGTCTGAAGTCATCAGCTATAGTAGTTATTATAATTCCCAGCGTCCGACTGTGGACCTGGTACACTCTCAGACGTTTCGCCTGCATCATCAGTGAGCCTTACCATTCTCATCACTAAACTACAACACGTCACTTCACTTGTCTCTTTGACGAGTGTCACCTTGGTGCTGAGAACGACAAGACTCACTGACGATGTAGCAAGTCCACGGCCCAAATAAGGGGAATTATGATAATCAATATAACAGAGGAATTAGGACAATGTGAGTCTAACGAAGTCGCCCTGACAACACGACCAAGTTCTGAAAGCGAGGTCAGCCCACTTCTATACAACAAAAGGACACTACAACCATACCAAAGGCCACACCATCTTCGCCTTCATTACTATGACCAGCTGGAAGTTGATCAGTCTCTTTTACGAGTCATTGCTTGTGGCAAAATGTAATATGTAGCTGAAAGCCAGGAAAGGCAAGACTCATTGGCGGGATCGAACATGATACCAGCGAACTGCTTAGAGATGTATCCAGTCCTGACTTCGATGCTGAAAATTACGATGACTATACTGACGAGGCTGCCAAGTTGCGAAACGAGAGACTATTTATTCATCTAGTCCTGCACAAGAACTTAGTCAACGTGCGATAAGAACTAATAGCTTAGATTTAACAAAATTATATGAGAATTCAACTTATCTTCTGCAACAAGGACTTATGCACTCGGCCCTAAAAGCATTGCGTAATGTTCGACGAGAGTAGTCTTTCAGACAATCAGTAGTTCTTGACTTAAAGCCTAGTCAAAATGGATCGCTTGAGGTGATTTAACTATGGGCAGTGGAGTTTTTCCCACTGTCTTGTAATGTCGCCATAATGAGCAGGGTCCGGTATTGAATCCCGTTTGGAGTGTTGAAAAGAGCCAGGCGAGGCCAAAGCTGAAGTCCGCTATGGCTGGGAGAACCTTGAGAAGGGAGGCCAAGTGTAGTTCAACGGTGTCGTTGGTTTCGAAGGTGGGACAACTCACCTTAACTCCCCCTAAACGACATCGGGTGACTAAGTTCTTATTCAATAATTCCTGATAGTTTCAAAACTTATTCACGTCGTAAATCCAGTTGCCATTCTTCCTCACACAATCCTTTAAAAAACCATCCGACCTTGACCCATCAAAGCGACCCCTGTTGCCTTTTGCTTTAGAAAAAGGGCAATCCTGACTCGGAATTAAATCAGTTAAGGTGGAAGACATAACATAATAGAATGAAATGATATCAACGGTTAGGTGGTCGTGACGATCAAAGAGTATTAGACCGTTGATAAATAGCATCGTCTGTAGTCGGGCATTCCTGACGCTGACAGTTAAAAGGGTAAAAATGGAGTTGGAGGTAAGGCTAGATTGCGTCAATGCTGGTCAGTTTGTATCATGTCTGAAAAAGGCATTTGGGTATGCTGAGTGTAAAGTGAAGCAATGGAAGAAGATAGGAATGGAGATAGGAATGCAAATGCGAAGGGTGTAGAGTAGAGGCGACTGTCATTGAGACTCTGCCGGATTGGTAGGTGATGCAATAGACAGGTGGGAAGGAAATAGCCAAATTAAAACATAATTAGCGTTAGTTGGTTAGCCCGGAGAGTAGAAGTGCAGCCAATTAAGTAACCAGGTCGATAGCTGGACTGTTGGTTCGTCATTTGTTTAAAGTGGATAGACTTTAAGGCAGAAGCCTACACAGACTCCTTCTTGCCAGATTGGAAGAGGAGCAGGTAAAATCGAGGGCAATAACTTGAAACAAAAGCATCCTGCTTGCTTAATCGAAAACTAAGCTGATTGATAGTGTTTCATTTTTGCTATGACAGCATTCATTTCTCTGTGTCATGACTCTTCTCGCTGATGTAACCAACTACAGTAAAGACACCAGGTTTTGGTAGGAATCCTCTTTTCGATACTCGTAGAAAGAGGAATCAATTAAAGTGAGCAGGAATTAGGAGCTCGGGAAATTGGACGCGCTTGGCGCTCATGGCTCTAACTGTCTATTCTTCAAGATAGCCAGACAGACTGAGATGTCCACAATGTCCCAAAACATATACAGTCCCAGTAAACCAGTAACCCTCCGGTTGCGTCGCCCAGTTGCAATGCTTCAAGAAACTTAGCTGCGAAGACAGTTCCTTTTTTCCTCTTTCCTTGCGCCTTATTAAAAAATTAAACTTCGGCAACGCATGGAAGCCGAGGTGTGGGCCAGGTAGCTTACTTTTGAAGTGACTCGTTCAGACAAAAAACTAAAGAACTTATCCAAACACTGATTTGCCTGAAGGTATGAAGACCTCAAATTTGGTCGTAGTCTCCTTTCGCTGGCTGTATAGAAGTTGGTTGACCTCGTTTTCGCAACTTATTCGTGTTGTCATGTGTATCTCGATGAAAGCACCATGTCCGGAGTCCTCTTACGTAGAATCAATGATAATTTCCAGCGTCGGACCGTAAATTTGGTGTATTCCCACAAGGTGTGTTTATCTAAGCCAACCTGGCAACGCGAAAACAAGGCCTAACCCCTAATTTAACCAAACCCTGTCGTTATGAGGAAATCCATTTGTGTGGTTTAATTTAAGAAAAATGCCTTAATAACATGTATAAAAGTGAACGACTGAACGTAAAATGCCCAGCAAGAATGTGGATCTGCTTGACACCTCAAAAATGAATGTGTGTAAGTATGGTTGTGCTTTTGAGTATGCACATGTCCATCCGTGTTTGAATAAGTGAATCTGTTATGATAGGTAAATTCGGTGTCAGAAGCTTCCTATAAAGTCAATGTCTTTCATAGCATCGATTGTACATGTAAGCGATTATGTCGAGGTCGAACTGAGAAATCTTAGAACAATAAAGGAGAAGCTGGGTTTCGAAGAATCCCTTAATGGATTGATACTGGCCTATCATTAATTTCGTTGGAGAAGGAGGTTCGGAAGGATTCGTAGATTGGCAGCACCGGATATCGCAGGACAGGTTTGTAATGCAAGCATCCTGTAAGCTTTCAAGAAAGATAGGCGAATTATTGAGGAAATTAAGTGTCAAGACAATGTATAAAGGAACAATAACGATTTCCTCGATTATGCCTTCTTCTAAAGAATCTACCGACGCCCTTTGCAGATCAGATTGTTATAAGGATCTGGGCTCACGTGGTAGTGTTTATGTGGGGAGGACTTGTCGACCCAGGCATAAGAGGCTATCAGAACACAGAACTGCCTGCCAAGGTTGATAGATTCAGAAACCGGAAGTGGCTGAACTTGTGGTCGCCACAGGATACCAGAAAGAGTTGTCTATATCCCAACGTTTTGCCGGATATGGGGACTTCACAGATAAGTGGAAGATCAGGGAGTTGATTGAACTTAATAAAACAAACAACATCCTGAATAAGAGGAATGAATGTAGGAAAATAAGTAAGAACTATCTCCGGCTTCTAAATAGAATGAGAGGGAGAGAGATAGATAGATAGAAGGAAAGGAAACAGAAAGAGCCACTAAGTAAAAGGAGAAGAAGAGACTGGGCTGGAGCTTATTTTTGAACCTAAATTGACAACTATTTCGGGTTTGTTGCTTACACATGCAAACACGCATCCACGAAGCTGTAACAAGAGCCAGGACTACTGGATCATACTCCAGTTTATTTACATATACAGTAGTTGTAACCACATCCGCTCTCCTGCCCGCATCATTTTGACCCACTTGCATACATGTAAGACAAGCATGCGTCAGCCAAGCAAATCATGGAATGACTCATTAAGATCGCAAAGTGAGGTTTAAGAAGTATGTAATAGTAGTCTAGAGACTCTACTTATATACAAAAAATAAGTAGTATCTCAGCTAGCCGCCTTTCTCGGTTTAGTGTTTTCGGTGATTTTTCGTGAATAATGGTTTCTGGCTCTGACGATGTCCGTCATTTGACGGACGAAATCTCAGCACGGAGTCATAAGAGTCGTAAGACAGTGAGCCGAGGTATTCTTCGCACAATTCAACAGACAAAAGTCCAAGGCAACCCTCCTGCGGTATCCGGTGCGGCCAATCTACGAATCCCTTAGACCCGCCTTCGCAAACGAAATTAAAGGTACGCCAGTATAAATTTAAAATAATGTCACATGCTAAATGCCACATAAACAATGTTATACTCAAAGCATGGGTCTACAAAATCAGCCTAACAACCCAAAAAAGCAGTAGATACCAAAAATCCTGCCTCAAAGTAAACTCATTTAGCGCGCTCTGGCACAAACGATTATAGAGCTAGTCCAAAAGGAAAGGAACCATCTGCAGCGAAGTCAGATTAAAATTATTGTCACTCAGTTTGTCTACAGTCTCTACACTTCTATATCCTTGAGGATGCATTTTGCACTTGACTGGGCCGAGACCGTAACAATATTCGGCCAGAAAGAGGGAACCATTTTGTTCGAAAAGGATGCTGGAAGTGATTTGCAACTTAACCGCCCCGAGAACCGAAGGAGAATTGCCTTGGAACGAAAACTGTTGGGTCATGTTAAAAGGGTAAGGCTTTTTGAGAGTAAAAAGCTTCCTTTTCGAAAAATTCGCCATAACTTATTTCGCCTCATATGAATCAAAGCTAAGAAACTGCGATCCTGTATTAGCCTCATTAAGTGAGCTTTGATAAAAATGTACACAGTGACACATTAATTTACTCTTCCTCCAGGCCCTAGACTTATCACATCTTCTTGAACTTTGCGTTTAAGCCCCTATCGCTCGACTGGATCGACAAGCCAGGCTGGGCTCGTCATAGCCTCTGGGACTCAAATTAGGCTAGACCAATTATCGATCGAACCTTGCGCCAGATGTCCTGCCTGATTTCTCTCGGCCTCTCTCGAACGGCCGCATTACACAATCACACTCTGCAGGAGGCGAAAATTGCGTGCCTTAGGCGAGCTTGGAGCAGCGAATTGACCCTGTCTCTTGCAATGCAGTTTCACCTTCTCTCACTCTCTATCTCTCTCTTCCCTTTTGACTATGCAAGGCTTATTTCGACCTCGAGCCGTCTTGATCGATCCGATGCGCACATCCACGCGTGCGTGAGCCTTTGCTGAATGGCGCCGTCCTGCCGCCCTGTCGCCCGAACTCGTTCGTGTCGGCCCCGCTTGCGTCGAGCTATGCTCACGCAGGCTGCCGGCCTCGTCGGGCCGAGGTGACTCACGCCTGCGTCGGCAGCTCGCCGAGCCGTCGGCTCGCAAAGACGACTCTGGCTGCTGCTGTCGGTTGGAGCCGTTAGCCGAGGCGGCGGAGACAGAGACAGAGACAGAGACGATGAGACGTAGGCCGCGGCTGTCTGAGCAGCGCAAAAGTGGCCACTGTTCGAGCAGGCGAAAGACTCGACCAGACAACTCGTCTCACTTGCATTCGGTCGTCCTCCACTCCGCGATGGCCTGTGGCGGTAGGTAAGTCGAACCTCGTCTTGTTGCCTCATCCGTTGCCTGTTGCCGACCGGATGGTTCGACAATTTCACCCTTATTTTGTTGCACCAATTCAATAGTCTATTGCAACCACTTTGTCGTGGAGACTTTTATTCCGTGTGAAAGTACGTGATGAAGGAATGATGAAGTTACTCTGCGTATGTATGTATCGCCTACTCTGCTTACACGAAGGCCTGCGTAGCATTCTATTCGGCCTCTAGCGGAACTAGTAACAGCGTGAAGTTAATGTTTCAAGACTCATCCCTGAACCCAAAATGGGCCAGAGACAAATTAAACGACTAGTTTGCTATTCACCAGCCAAAAAATATAGTAAATATGGTTTAGAAAATTCTATGCTGAACTACAGAGTGGATTGAGCTAAATAATTTAGTGAATATAAGAGAAGCATTTTCTTGCACTCCAGGTTGTTATAACAAGTGGATCAGTTGAACAAGAATTTGAATCATTCTAGTTCGCTTAAGGCAATTTCCGGTAATCTGCTGTCAGTCCTTACGTTAGCATAAACGATTTAGGGTGCTTCCTGCTCCTATTAAACACCTGTTCTCAGTTACTATATATTGTAGTATTGTAGATTGTCATGGAAAATATGTTGTCGGAAAGTACATGATGAAGAGCTTCGTTGTAGACATGTAAACCAAGATGGAGTAACCTGTTGATATTCGCAAACTCTTTTAGCTGTATAGCATTGGCGTGACCACATTTTCGAAACTTGATCGGAGCGGTAAGAAGACCTTGTGGAATGTAACTAGTCCTGCGTCCTCTGCCCTCCATTATTCACGAAGGTTTCCAGCATCTGACCATTGATTTGATACATTCCCAACCGTTTCGCTGGCATCATCAGTAAGAGACGCCATCGTTAGCACAGAGTCACAACTTATCAAAGTGACAAATGCAGGCAATCCCCTTGACCAATTTTCTGTTCAAGCGTTCTGGCATCACTCACCGCTCCTATTTTTGTTGTCCTACCTTCTAGTGCCGTATCTCTTTCTCTCAACCCCACTTCATATGGCTCATTTACCTATCCACACAATTTTGTGCTCTCTTATCCTCCAATGTCGCCTATGAATGAAGCGATTCAAGGGGATTTAGTAAAGCATATTCACCTACACCACCAGTTCAAGATGCCATTCGCAGGGTCTTCAAGTCATGGGTTCTCATTTTCATTTACCACCGCTAGTTTCCTGCTACACATGAAAATCAATGTCTGGCTGTCTTAAATCTGGCCGCTATAAGATTTTCGTTGGTTTATTTCACTGGAACAAGACAGCTGATTCCCGCTTTTCTGCAGCTGTTTGACACAGTCCGCGAAACTTCCTCTTTGGTCTATTTAATCCTAAGACAATGCATACACACAGACACACACCTAGAGACGTACGCATAAGGTGAAGTATAAACACTCTGATTAATAAGAAAGAGAACTAACCAAATACTTCTATACCTATCTTTTTATTTTTTTATTTTTTAGCCAATCTAATTATAACATATAGAATAGAGCATGTCGATCTTCTCGAATTATTGTTAGCTTAAGGCATTTGCAAGAATGAACCACAAGTCTGAGTGTATTCGTAAATTACTAGCAAAAGCTCAGCCTGGAAGATATGAAGACCAAGATGGTGTGGTTTCCGGTATGGTCGAATTCACCTTACTATTCATAGAAGTGGGTTGACCTCGTAGTCATAACTTGGTCTTGTTGTCAGGGCGACTTGGTAGAACGCGTCTTGTCCGACATACTCTGCCATAGTAGTTATCATAACTCCCAGCATCAGACCGTGGACTTGGTACATTCTCAGACGTTTCGCCGGCATCATAGTCGGCATCATCAGTGAGTCTTGCCATTCTCGGCACCAAGCTACAAACTCGTCAAAGCGACAAGTGGAGTCAATCCCTTGAACAACATTCTGCAGAAAACAGTTAAACTATCGCTCCTCTTCCTGTCCTGGCCTATCTATCAACTCTTTGCTCTCTTATCCAACTCCGGACCTATCACAACTTATCACTTGTTTACATTCCACTCGTCAAAAGGTGTGCCCTTTTTTGGCAAATTTTTGTATGACCTCATTAAACACCATCCTCCGGTTAGCGATAGCTCCTTGATCCAAGAGTCTCCTTTTTGCTGGCCTTACTGCATTATTGTTCTCCCCGAGTTTGCTCAAGCAGTAGACAAAGTTATCGCTAACTCTACCCTCCCCCAATCTACTGTTTATTAGATTTTTCTTCGCAAAAATGTCAATGGCCTCCCTAATCTTCCGCTTCCTTGTGTTCTCACCGTATGAGACTCTTCGTGCTGTTGCCTTCCAATTAATCTCGTGTTCAGTTCGTGCA